GCCTTAAATCAGAGAATACGCTAAAGTTAGTTGCTCCCTTGGTAGCTCTTTATGTCTCTACCTCCTGTTTCATGTCTGCAGGTGTCCTGCTTCAATGAGTTGGAACTCTGTATCCATCCTGATGGAGTCGTTCCAGTGCTGACTTTCCTCAGGGATCACACCAATGCACAATTCAAATCCTTGGCTGACTTGACAGCAGTGGACATCCCAACCCGGCAGAACCGTTTTGAGGTCAGTCAGGAGGTTTGAGAAGGTTTTTGGGGGTAAAGGAAGGAAAGGGAACAGAACACTTTTAGACTAAGAGTTGCCAGTAGGAACCATAGCCTTCTTAGTTTTAGTTGGGTCAGACAGCTTAACAAAACAGTTAAACTAGAGCCTCAGCATCAGGCAGGCCTCGAGTTTAAATCCTGGCTCTGCCATCTATACACTGTGTGAATATTTTGTTTAATCTTTTTTTGACTTTTCATTTTCTTTTGGGCAGAATAAGTATAAAATTGTCCCTAACTCAGGTTGGTTGTGAGGATTAAATGAGATAGTACGGGTAGATTACTAGCACACAAGTTTTCAATATATTTAACTATTGACATTTACTGATAATATACTATTTGCCAGATCCTGGGACAGAGAAATAACACCCAATAACTGCCTTTCCAGGAGTCCCTCAAACTCTAGTCAGGAAGGATACATAAACAGCTTAGTGTAATAACATATGACACATGGTATGTTAAAGATGTGCTATAATAATGAAGGAGGACCACTTAGCCCTGTCTGGAGGCTTCTTTGAAGGGAGAGAGAATGTTTGTGCTGAGTCTTAATGGATGACCAGAAGACTAGAAATTAGTTCAGTGAGGATTGGGATTGGGGGAGATGTGGTTTGGAGACATCCTAGACCAGTGATGGCGAGCCTATGACACGTGTGTCAGAGGTGACATGAACTCATTTTTTTGGTTGATTTTTCTTTGTTAAATGGCATTTAAATATATAAAATAAATATCAAAAATATAAGTCTTTGTTTTACTATGGTTGCAAATATAAAAAAAATTTCTATATGTGACACAGCACCAGAGTTAAGTTAGGGTTTTTCAAAATGCTGACACGCCGAGCTCAAAAGGTTCGCCATCACTGTCCTAGACAAAGGGAATAGCATGAACAAAGACACGTATGCCGACTGCTGAGCAGCTACATGTTAGTGTGGCTTAGGCCTTTGAAAGCAGTTGTAAGTACAGGAGGATCTTGAGGTTTTGAGCTTCAGGATAGAAGGCAGATTTATCTAATTCACCTTGTGTCATCATTGATATTCCCCCTCAGGGACTTCAGCTTGTGGCCATCTTGGTCCTCCATTTCCTTTGTTCTCCCTAGATTGTTTACAACCTGCTGTCTCTGCGCTTCAACTCCCGCATCCGTGTGAAGACCTATACAGATGAGCTGACACCCATTGAGTCCTCCGTCTCTGTGCATAAGGCAGCAAACTGGTATGAGAGGGAGGTGAGTTACTGGGCATGGTGGACCGTGCTTCTGAGCCAGAGTTGCAGAATTGGTTGGAACTACTGTGGGCAGCATAGCCCCTTACCCCCATGTTGGCCATGATGGACTGGTTGCCCGAGGGCCTCTTTTTTCTAGATCTGGGACATGTTTGGAGTCTTCTTTGCTAACCACCCTGACCTAAGAAGGATCCTGACAGACTATGGCTTTGAAGGACATCCTTTCCGGAAAGACTTTCCCCTGTCTGGCTACGTTGAGGTAGGAGCCTTGGAACTGTGATAGCAGCCTCAGGGAAGGACTGGCAGGGGACCTGGGAGATCCTGGGCATGGCAGGAAATATGGTTTGTGGATTGTGGTGGTTTAAGAGCATTGGCTCTGGATTCAAATCCTAGCTCCACTTTTATAATTTGGGGCAAGTTACGAATTTCTCTATGACAGTTTTACTCATCTGTGAATTGGGAACAATAATAGTACTTAACCAATAAGATTTGCAGTGTTCTAAATGATGTATGTGTAATACCTGGTGTACTATAAATGGTCAGTTGATGCTAGCCATTATTGTAGTGATCATTTGAATGATCAGGGCAGCCTTGAGAACACAGAGTCTGTCCCCAAGATCTGAAAGTGGAATGTTATTTTACCCTACCCTGGATCTCTGAGAAGGAAGCTGACAGGGAAGACACTGAATATTCAGCCTTTGAGAATGGCCAGAGGCAGGACCAGTAACATCCTATCTAATAAAGAGAGAATATGCTAATTGGCCATCATGCCATTGCAAAGATGGTGGCACCCATAGCCAATAAGGAGGGAATATGCTAATTGACTGCCCCGCCCTCAAAGATGGCAGCACCCACAGCTACAAGATGGTGGCTCCCAGTCCCCTTAGCCCCACAGGGGCAGCAGGCTCCCAGCAAGGCCGGGCCTACCCCCAGGTGAGCCCGGCCACTCTGCACACCTGCCTCCGGAGTCCCCCAGTCCCCTCAGCCCCCCAGCCGCCCAGGGCCGCCCGAGGCTCAGGCAACCAGGGCCGGCTGAGGCTTGCGCTGCCAGCAGTGGCAGCAGCAGGGGTGTGATGGGGCGTTGCCTTCCCCTGATCGCCTCCCCCTCCTGAGGGCTCCTGGACTGTGAGAGGGGGCAGGCCAGGCTGAGGGAACCCCCCTCCAGGGCATGAATTTTCATGCACCGGGCCTCTAGTGTGATCATAAGGGCCTTATAAAGAAGTTCAGTGCTTTGCTTTACCATCCATGTGCTGCAGGTTGTTTGTCAGCGGGGAGATGCTCTATTGTGTACATTAACACCAGTGATTTTGTAGCAGAGTGACTTAGAAATACCAAGATAGTGGCAATCCAGCCCTTCTCTTTAGTGCTCAAATGCTCCTGTATTTTGCATGGTTCCCTTTCCTTCTCAAGCTACTTCTGGTCAGGATTACTTCCCTCTCTTCTCCCTTTGTTTCACCCCAACTGTCCCCCTAATTTGGACGGCCTCTTAACCCTACAACTTGTTTGTTCTTATCTTATCCAGCTGATCCTCCAATAACAAGAAAAGCCATGCCAAATTGATTGCCTCAATTAAAAAAGCAAATTAGCCCTGGCCAGCATTGCTCAGGGGTTAGTGTCAGCCCATGTATCAAAGGGTCCCAGGTTCGATTTCCAGTCAAGGGCACATACCTGGGTTGCAGATTCAATCCCTGGCCCCAATCAGGGTGTGTATAGGAGGCAACTAATCAATGTGTGTCTCACAGCAATCTTGCTCTCCCTCAATCTCTTTCTCCCTCTCTCTCCCTCTCCCCTACTATTCCTCCCTTCCACTCTCTCTCTAAAAAAAAAAAAAAAATCAATGGAAAAAATATCCGGTGAGGATTAACAACAACCAACAACAACAAATCTTTACACTGAAAACAACAACATATTGCCAAGAGAAATTAAAAAGACCAACATAAGTGCTGGCTGGATAGTTCAGTTGGTTAGAGCATCCTCCCAGTATACTAAGGTTGTAGGTTCAAAACCCAGTCAAGGCATATACAAGAAGCAACCAGTGAATGCACAAATGAGTGGAACAACAAATTGCTATTTTCTTTCTCTAAAAAATTAAAAATAAAATTTTTTCACATCTGAGCCCCCTGAGAGTCTCAAGCTTGAAGCCGGGGACAAGAAACCTGAAGCCAAGTAGCTCAGGTTTTTACTCAGACCAAATAAAAAGACCAACATAAATTGATGGTTATACCATGTTCTTGGATTAAAAGACAAATTGATTGCCTCACATCTTTTATTTTATTTTTTTTATTGCCTCACATCTTGACACCAATAATGCCAAGGCCCCTAGGCCTGAACTTTAGTGCCTGCCAGTTAGGTGTACTCTTTTCAGCCACTGACTTGTTCTCTAATCCTGGGCAAATTCTTATCTTATAAAGTGTGTGGATGGGTGAGCAAATTCAGTTCAGCTGGAAAGAGCTCATAATGGGATGGTGGGCAGGTGAGCCTGACTGGGTGATGGCAGGGCATGAGACAAAGGGCATTTTGGACTATGGTTAGTAAGTAACAGGTGTGGATGGAGACTTGAAACAGGCTGGGACAGGAATCAAGAATAGAGAAGTAAAGGGGCCGGCATGGGGAAGTGGGCTGCTTGCTGTAACAAGGCCTTGCTCCGCGCACAAACCTGCCTTTTTCTTCTGCAGTTACGCTATGATGATGAAGTGAAGCGTGTGGTGGCTGAGCCGGTGGAACTGGCCCAAGAGTTCCGCAAGTTTGACCTGAATAGCCCATGGGAGGCTTTCCCTGCCTATCGCCAGCCCCCTGAGAGTCTCAAGCTTGAAGCCGGGGACAAGAAACCTGAAGCCAAGTAGCTCCAGGGAAGGCATACGGATCCTAGAAAGCGCCTTATCTATAATTGAGTCTGTGTAAATAAAATCCTACTTAGACTTACCATTTCCTGTGTGCTTATCAACATGAAGTTTTTACTCAGGAGAGGGGATATGGCAGGCAGGAGTTTTCCCTGCTGACTACCAAACTGGGAGTCTGTTTTAACGGGACTGAATAGTGCAGTTACAGATGTGGTGACCTGCAGGCCTGGATGTATTTCTGAAGGGTGTTCTGCAGCTGAAATTCAAAGTTCATATAGCACACAGGCCTCAGGGTGGGTGTGGCATGGCCTCTAGCAGGGTCTCAACAACTGCTGGAGAAAGCCCATGTCTGGCAGTAGCTTATGTGTCCAGGGGCCTGGGTGGAACCAGGAAACCACTATCCACCCTCATTCCATCCAAATATCCACAGGGTTCCATGAGCTGCAGCTCCTTTTTGAGTCTTGAACCCTGTAACCTGACAGCCCATCATGCTTGATCTAAGGGAATCTTCCTAGACCAGTGATGGCGAACCTTTTGAGCTCGGCGTGTCAGCATTTTGAAAAACCCTAACTTAACTCTGGTGCCATGTCACATACAGAAATTTTTTGATATTTGCAACCATAGTAAAACAAAGACTTATATTTTTGATATTTATTTTATATATTTAAATGCCATTTAACAAAGAAAAATCAACCAAAAAAATGAGTTCGTGTGTCACTGCTGACACGCATGTCATAGGTTCGCCATCACTGCCCTAGACTCTGGCCTGAGCCAAGAATGTTGTAAACAAGCAGAGGAGGACCCAGGGCTGAGGCAAATGACATTCGGGAGCTGCAGAGCTTCCAGGGGATAGGACTCCCCACCCGAGCTGGTCTGGACTCTGTGTTCAGCCGGTCTGGCTGAGTGCCTGAGGTGGAAGTGCTTGGCTTTGCCTGCCCATGGCACTGTCCAGTCGGTCGGGGATGCATTTGTAGGACTGAGCTTTGCAGCTGATGCTCTTGGCTGCTGAGGGGCTCCCTGGAGGCTGGGCTGGGGACTGGGCGTCCGGAGTTGGGCTCAGCTGCAGGATGTTTTGGGTTTGAGGACAGATAAATAGTAAGGTAGTATTACGGCCTGGGCTCTTCCCTACCTTTTAGGAGGGCCAAGCTCAAGCTGTTTGCTACCCAACACCTTTTTTCTATTAACTAAGAATCCGGCCCATCTGGGTAGCAACAGCCTCCTGCTGCCAACAACCAAGGATTTCACATTTCTACGGGATGGAAAGAGCCCTGGGAAGCCAGAGCCAGCTCCTCCCTGTTTTGCTTTGAAGACTGACACGCAAAGCAGGGAACACTTGAGCAGCCTGCAGTGGAAAGCTGGAGCCATGGTGTGTGGCAAACGGATGCAGGAGCAGAGAGCAGCCAGGGAGAGCAGAACTCGGAGGACGTGGTGGGGCATGGCGGGGAAAATTAAGTTCCTGGCTTGGCTAATGGTAGCCATCTGCCTCCTCCCTGGGTTGACTACAACCCAGCGCCACGAAGGTACCAGGGCTTCAGGGTGGGGTGGATGGGAACCAAGGAAGGCTGCTGGCTAATAGCAGTTATAGTTGGTTCTATCTGAGCCTAGCAGGGCCTCGGGATTGTGGGCTGACGTGTGCTGCAGAGGTTAATGGCGTGGGCCCCTCCCCTAGAACAGGAAAGGTCCAGGTGAAGTGAAGGGAGATAAACGTAGGTGCTGACCCTGGACAGAGTTGTGCCTGGGCTTATTCTGGTTGATGCCTGAAGCAGTTTCCCTTGATCTGCCCTGGGCTTGGAACAATCATTTCAAGGGACGGGTGCACCCTGGGGTGGGATGAAGGAAGCTGTAACAGACATTCTGCCTTGCCTGGTCTCCCTGCCTTGCATACCATCACTACTGAGGAGTAAGGAAGGAGTGGGTTCTTTCCAAAAGGGGTCCTCAATCTTTGAGGAAGGTCACTGTTTTAGGTTACACTGTAAACCAGATGATAGGGAGGGAGGGGGAGTGGGAAGTAAAGTGTCTCGTGACCCGTTGCCCTGGAGCTCTTGGCCAAGGGAATTGCGAAGTTCAAGGAGTTCTGGACATTTGCTGAGGTGCTATCTGGGTTTCGGATGATCTTGGAATAAGACCTATGCCTGGGGTGGTAAATGTCAATGTGTGTATGTGTGTAGGGAGTGTGCGGGTGGGGGGGAATGGAATGGCAATCCTACTCTTGCAGCTAAAACCTCTAGACACTCTTAGAGGCAGCTAAGGGGCACTTCTGGGAAGTTGGGTTGTTTAGGACGGAGCTTGGCAGGGGCCTGACTTCTCTCTGCTGCCCCAGGGCAGCCCATGGACAGCACCAGCGTGGCAAGTGGCCTGCAGGAGCCAGAGGCCCCGGAAGTGATGTTTGAGGTCTTTCCTCCAGCTTGGGACATGGGGGTGGGGGTGAGGGGGCAGTGTCCAGAGGTCCCTAAACTCAGAGTTGGGAAGGGGGATGTCTCAAGCTGGGCTTGCTGGGGGAGGGGGCCACCCAGCATGGGACCTACTGCCTGCTTATGCCCCCCTGGCCCACTCTAGCTCCCTACCCTGCCCCGGAGCTCAGCCCACTCCTTAAACAGCTCCCCTTGCAGCTGCTCTGGGCCAGGCTGGAGCTGGATGTCACGGGGCAGCTGCACATCCAGGACGAGGAACTGGCATCCACACGTCCAGGCCGCCGACTCGGGCTCCTCCTGCAGCACCACGTGCCCAGTGACTTGGAGGGCGCTGAGCAGCGGCTGCAGCAGTTCCAGGACCTGCGGAAGGGGCCTCCTCTTAGCCCCTGGGATTTTGAACATCTGCTCCTCACCGGCCTATCCTGTGTCTACCGGCTCCACAAGGCTTTGGAGGCTGAGGAGAGGGGTCGCTGGGCCCAGGTCTTTGCCCTCCTGGCACAGGAAACACTCTGGGACCTGTGCAAAGGCTTCTGCCCCGAGGGCCAGCCTCCTTCTTTGGGGCCCTGGGCCTCAATCCTTGACCCCTTCCCCTGACCCTCCCCTTTCACCCTAATTCCCACCCCCAAGCCAGACTCATCCTGGGCAGAGGCTTCCATATGGCACCTGGTTCTTCCCACCGTGTTCCGGTTCTTGGGCTTAGGGCTGCACCCTGGACCATGCTTACCTCTCCCCCGTCTTCTTCCCTGGGCCCTGACAGGCAAAGAGGCCAGACTCTGGGTGCCAGGCAGCAGGTGCAAAACTAAAGGCAGGACTTGCAGGCAGTGTGTGTGGTGTGTGGTTGGTGTGTGTGTGGTTGGTGTGTGTGTGTGAGTGGGGTGTGGGGTGTGGTGTGTGTGTGTATGTGGTCTGTGTGGGGTGTGGGGTGCGTGTGGTGTGCGTGTGATGTGTGTGTGGTCTGTGTGGTGTGTGTGTGTGTTGGGGTCAGGACTGAGACGTGTGTTTTAAAAGATGCTGGAAGGGAAGCCACCCCTAAGTCGGGGGTCAGGCCCCGGCCCTCCCTTGGCGTCCTGAGGCCCTGGGCATCCAGGGGACCTTCTGAATGCTCCACACCCCATCTCGGTGCCCCTTGAAGCCCAGCCACTGCTCCGGGCCCTGAACCTCCACGTCCCCACTGGGTGGGGGACAGCCTGGCGTTCTTGGTTTGTCTGTTGGGAGTGAAGGGGAGCGGGTGGAGAAATGCACATACCAGGGCAGGAGGGATGTGCCGGGTCCATCTCAACAAGCCCACGGGGAGCGGTCACAGGAGGGAACGAGGCTGGGAGGGAGCGAGCTGGCGGGGAGCCCCTGACCCCGT